GACGGGAAGGACTTAAGGATTATCAAGAACATGTACTGGGATCAAACTGCTGCAATGAGAATAGAAAACGACATCAGCGAATACATACAGAAGTCAGACAAGGATGTGTACTTTCTCCAGACTTGTTCTCCCTGTATAGTGAAAATATCATGAGACACATAGACGAAATGCCAGGTATCTGGATGGGGGGGACATAAGATACAAAATCTAAGATATACAGACGATACAGTCCTAATAGCAGAAGACGAAGAACACCTTAGGAATCTATTACATGTCATTGTACAAGATATTGACAACATGGGCTTAAGCCTAAACATCAAGAAAACCGAAACAATGGTGATAAGCAGAAAAACTATTACACTAACAAGCAATATAAAAATCAGTGATATCACGCTCAAGCAAGTACAACATTTTTAATATTTGGGGACCGTTATATCGTCAGATGGGAGATGTCACACCGAAATTAAAAGCTGCATTTGCCAAGCAAAAGCAACCTTCCACAAAATGAAACAGATACTCACAAACATCAATCCGTCAGGACACAAGGAAAGGAGTACTGAAAAGTTACATGGAGCCAATCCTATTATACGGGTGCGAAGCATGGACAATCAATAAACAGCAAGAAAGAACAATTGTGGCGACAGAGTTGTGGTTCATAAGATACATGCTACGTATCCCATGGACAACTAGAAAAACAAATGAAGAAGTCTTGGTTGAAGCAAATTGTAGAAGACAGCTTATGACGAATATAAGAAAGCGACAGGCAAATTTCTTCGGACACACAATGTGGGTAGAAGTATTGGATAATATTGTAACTACAGGCAAGTTTGATGGAAAGAGAGGCAGAGGCAGACAGAGGGAAAAGATACTTGACAAGTTGACAACATGGTTAGGAGCAGCAAGATCAACAGAAAACATTGCTGCAACGCAAGACAAAGTTCAGTGGAGGTCCATGATCGCCACACCAGTCTGCAAGGCACCGGAAGATGATGATGATAATGATGATCATGATGATGATGATGATGATGATGATTATTATTATTATTGTTACTATTATTATTATTTTATTCTTTTGTTATGGTGTGGAAGGTGGTGGGTAGGGGGATATGAGGGTTTCGGTGAAAAAATATAACTACTCCCCCGACCCTCTTCTCTCCTTAGGAGCGCACTACCTTTTGATTTATTCGTTCATTTGTTTATTTATTCATTCATTCATCCATTCACTCAAATCTTCAGATTGAAAGAAAGGAAGTGGCATTACTTATCACTTGGCACTGCCCTCCAGCTACCCACGCAGACATACAAAACGAAGAAGAGAAAGAAAAGAAGTAGAACCTACCAGCAGAGCCATCCTTCAACCACCCGCCCCACGTACAACAATGAGCAACCAGTCTCATCCTGAGATGGACAAGCCAGCAGCAGGTATTCTATCTGACGAACAATTTGTCATCCTGCAGAGCACAAACGCTTATGTCGGAATCTTTTTCTCTGTCCTTGGTATCGGCTCCAACTTTTTGAACATCAAAACTTTCTTCACCATGGGTGTAGACGACGCTGTGACAGTGTCCTTTCTCGGACTGTCCATTTCCGATTTCGTCGTGTCTTTGGTGATGTTTTGTACAGGGGTCTCGGTGAGTCTTCACACAGTCGAGTTGTCACTGGGACCTCTCTTCACCTACGATCCTTTAATACCTGTAGCGTATCTAAAAAATGTAATCATGGCTTTGTACACCGTCACTATTCTGATAACACTCTACATAGCCGTAGCTAGGTGTATGTGTGTGGCCAAACCCTTACACTTCAAACATGTCTTCACTAAAACCAGGTCAGTTGTGATCATCAGCGTATTCGGCGTGTTTTCTGTAGGGGTTGCGATGCCGATTTTCACGAGTATGGGAATCGCGGACGTTTCTGGCATAACGCAGAATGGTACACGATACACTATGTGGTTTGATCCTAACCAAGAACATGTCAAAGACGCCGTATTTTTCATCATGATGGTTGTGATCCCCTTCGCCACACAAGTCATCGTTATCGTCTGTATTGTCGTCATGACATGGAAGCTCATCGAGTCTTCTCGGTTCAGACAAAAGTCCGCGAAAAGCAGTAACAACTCCGGCGGAATCATCACTCAGAAAACTACTGAGGGCCAAGAAAACAACACTAAAAATAACAACAGCAACAGCAGCAACGTCAGACTCTCGGGAAGAGAGCTTCAGGCTGTACAACAGGTCGTCCTTATCTCTGTTATCTTCGCCATTTTCAACACACCCATGATAGCTGTGAGTATTTGTAGTCTGGTGGAACCAGATTTCGACGCCATCTTGGGCAAACATCGCTACGCGCGCCTTTACGCTGCGTGCAGTTCATCAAGACGAGTGTCTGAGCAAGTCAACAGTGCTCTCAACTTCTTCATCTACTACAACTACAACACAAAGTTTAGGGTGTCTTGTAAGCTATTTTAGTAGAACGAGTTTTAGGTCAGTTGCAATACAAGAAGATTTTTACGAGATAGTAACTTACAAAAAAAAGTGCGTGGAGGAGGGGGAGATGTAAAGACGATACATTTCTTGTAAGAAAGAAAGAGTAAACCACATCAGAGTGAGAGCAAACCACTAATTTGCAAACCGTGTTAGTAAAAGACATGCGCCGGAATAACATAGGGGAGAACTGCTGTTTTTTCCCCTCGTCCTTACTATCGTCATTTTCCTCTACTTCTTTTGTTTGTCACTCTCTTGTGACCTGCTATTTCCAGGAAGCCTTGATAGTCGCAGTAGACTTTGTGCTGTTGAGGCTAGAGAGGTGAGCAGAGTTAGCCTGATTCCCCTTTTGGATTTCTCTGTTGACATCCACCCCTTGGTGATCATATGAATTTAATTTTATTTATCCTGTGTGAGCGTCGTAAAACTTTAATAAAAATAAAACTAAAAAAGACGTGTCTTTAATGTCGTGCCAATTTCAAGACAAATCGATTATCCCATTGATGCACGACCTCTCAACATTTGATAAAATGTGGACACAACATACCTTTTGACATCAAATGAAAGGATTCGGGCTGATTTTGTTTAATTCAAAACATTTCCTTACGTTTGATGTCGCTGAAAGGTTGATTCAAAAATGGAACGCTATGCACGAGAGGGTGTGTGCGTTTTGGGCTTTGCTACGAGCAGTAACACACTTTAAACAAGTTTTTAAAAGTACAACATAAACGAAAAGTGATATTGAGAAAAATGTAAGCTTATTGCATTTATATACCATGTCAAAGCACACAATGTGTATTTGTTTCTAAAATAAAAACATTTGCTGTAATAATGTGTGTTTTAAAACAAGTACCTCTGCAAGGGAGACGTTTTTTCTTCAATTGATCAGCGTTGCCTAATGCATTGCGTCTTACTTCCTGTTTCCGTTCATGTCATGCTCAAATCTTCCTTTGGCTTTCTTCCTCTTATTTTGATGCTGTTTTCAGCAGTTGTTTTCTTTTATTTTTGTTAATACCTTTCAGGTGTCTCTGTCTTCTTTTAAGATCTTCCCTCTGTCTTTGTCGCCTGTTGTTCTGTGTAGTTTGCTTTCATGCTTCTTTACAAACCAAAATGCTCTTTACAGATGTTTTAGGCAATACCCCCAAATACATCCAGACGTTGATCGTAATTGCTGTTACCCAGGTATGTCTGCACTGTTCAAATGATGGCAACATCAAGGTTTGGCCAGGATTTTTTTTTTCGAGTAATGGGGCTCTAGGTACAGCTGAAGCGATTTTTTCGTTGGTTTGAGCTCTAACTAAAGTACACTGGTAGTCACAATTAACAAAATGGGTCCAGAAAGATAAACAAACCATCCATGTATGATTTTATTGTCAATTTTATGAATTCTTGAGGTGAAATAGTTTCAACAGACAACAATATGTGCAAATTCTTCTTGGAGATTGTGAAAAGGATTGATTTGAAACAGATTTTGTCATTTTCACAGTGTTTCTGAATACAACCTGCAACATACTAAAGATTTACTTTCCTAAATCTCATAGTTTTCTTATAACTGCCCTTTTAGTGTCATTTACCATTAACGGACAAAAGATTCGTCACAAATCAGACTGATACCTTCAATCTTTTTTGACATTTACAGAAGACTTATACCTATATCACTAATAATGTTTTGGTATTTTGCAGACAGATTATTTAGAAACAGTGATGCAAAATGAGATTGGGCTGTGACATGCATTTTTAGAAATGTCTCCGCGAAGGTGACCCCCAAGAAAAGCATAGTTTTTGAGAAAATTGAAGAAAAAAAACAACCGAATACATACTGGTCTATTTCAACACAATGATCTAAAATATGGTATATATTATGCATATTATTCATTTATTTGATACAACTGGAATGCACATAAATAAATGTAAAACAGAGTGTTATGGGAACAAAAATATCAGACTAAAACCTCAATACCACCCTCACTATACTTTTTTTTAAAAACAACAAACTAGCAGCTAATTCAGCGAATGGGTAGACATTTGATTTTTTTAATTTTTATCAAAGAGCTCTGAAATATTATATGTGACGTACATAGTGCCCTGGAATATTAAGTGTACTTAGTACTCATGTAATCAAACGAAAAAGAATAGGAATGGAAATTGTTTCCATCTAGATCTACTACAGTGTAGCGTTAAGGCTTTTCCCTGTTATACTCACTTTACCTAACCTCAATTCCTGAGTGGGAATTTTGTTTTATCAAGTACACAGATCTTTTTGCCGGGAGAGTTATGTCCCTTTCAGCCCAGGTGGACCCTAACAGGCAGGGTCAGACGCCCACTTTCTAAATTATCTAAATTGTGTTGATAAAGGCGTAAAAACACATAAATCTTTAAGGAGTGGTGGGGCACCTGAAGGCTATCTCGGCAATTATAAACCCTAGAGTGCTCATATTTGGAGTAGGACATCATGTATTATTGGATATTTAAAATATGGAAGTGTCTACGTACTCCCCGATTGGGGTCTACGTAGTCATT